ATGTATTACATGCTGATGGCATTATGACTGAAAACAAATCTATGGAGCAGGGGGAATGCAAGGCAGTAGGGGATTGCATGTGCATTTCAAGGATGGCCTGGAACCCACAAGGATTTCAAGTTCTGTTTGGGCTGTATTGTGAGTCCAAAGACTGACTGGGCAACAGTCAGAATTCAATGGCAACCTGAACAGCACAATGAGTGGATTTGGGGTATTTTATAAGGTGGACCACAGGAAATTCCACTTGTCTGGGGTCTGGTCTAGGATGTATTGATGTAGTTCTTGTGAAATGTGTGTTAGTTCTCATGAGAGTTAGTTTTTACAAGAATAATCTGAACCCGGTTGACTTCCTGCATCTTGTCTCACTGTGTCATCATTCTTGTTCACACAGTCCTGCTATCAAGGTTCCCTCTCTATGAGGTTCTCACCAGAGCAAGTTAATGCTGTGCCACACATTGAATCTACAGAAATGTGGGAGGAATACACTTTTTCTTGTTGTAAAGTTTCCTGGTCTCAAGTGATTTGTTCTATGAACAAAAGTTAACTGCTCTATGCCTATAGTTGTGGACAGTTTTACCTTTCAATTACTATTATGATGATGATTATAGTGATGATGGTGAAGGTACTAAGGTTTCATTTCAACGTTTTGCACTTTGAAGACAAGCACTCTACTGTTTGAGCTATGCCTCCACTTATATTTGCTTTTTTCCCAGGTTGGTCTCCTATCATAGGCATAACAATCTAGCTGAGCTGACAAACACGTGCCAACAGCCTTCAATTTTTTTCATCAGATTGGACTTGAGGATCATGCTTGGTTGGTCTCAAACGGATCCTCTTGAACTCAGTTTCCACCATAGCTTGGGATGACAGACATCCTCCAATGTGCCCAGCTATTGATTTAGATGCGGTTTCCTAAGCCCAGATGTTAGGATTACATTTGTGAGACATGAATGCCACACTACATTTTGTGTATTATTTTTAATGTACTTGTAAATTCAGATAATTTACTACTTATATTTTGCCATTTTAATTCTAATTACTCTACATGTAAGTAAGTCATAATTTTTTCAAATTTGTAGTGTAGGAGCAACAGGTGTCACTATAACCTAGGTTTGCAGCAGGCAAGATGTCTATGTTTGTGTAAGCTTACTCTATGGGATCATAGAATTACAAAATTATCTAAACATATCATCCCCATTCAGTTACACATGATCTTATCTGAGAAGATTGATATGCACTCTAAATTCTTACATGGAATGGTCCATTTGTGACAATTCCGGCTTGTCTAGCAAGCGACTTCATTCACTTTCACCCTCTGCCCATTTTTCCACTCAAATGCTGAATACACATCTTCAGATGTTTCTTAAAGCAGCATCACCACCCTGCTACTATACATATCTTGGTCTGTTTGTCCTTCTGTGAGAAAATACAACAACCTTGGTAATTTTAAAATCATAGCCATCTACTGCTTGCAGTTCTGGAGATTTGGACATCCTAGTCCAATGTTCTGGTGGCGAATCTGGAATGACTGGCTTCTTTTTTCCAAGGGGGTATCTTGGTGCCAAATCTGCACATGGTGAGGGAGATAAGCACTATGCAGTCACATGGTGGAAGGAATAAACAGTGACAATCTCAAGTTATTAAGATATTTATAAAGGTATGAAAGGTTTGAAGACAGAGTGCTTATGGGGACTGACATAAGATAATCCTCACTGTAGTCTCAGCATTTCATAAACACTAATGCCATGCACAACTGGGCAACCTTTCACAAGGAGTATGGTGAGTACACCCATCACTCTGAAATTTTACCTTTGTTCATCTGTCCTTATTCTCTCTTGTGCTCCTTCCCCAACATGTTCCGAAGCAGTTCCTGATACTGACCTCTCTTGATCCTCTAGTCCATTATTCAGTTTCAAGAAGTTAAGGGAGTGAAGCCAGGCATTACGCACTTCTCTTTGACCTGTCACTGGACATGATTATTAATGAATGCCACTGTGCTGAGGCATTTAATGGATTAATGATGGCTGATATTTTATGAATTAATTAGATGCAGGTTGTTTACATGTTTATGAGCATTTGCATTGTTTTCAGGTTCTGACTCTACAAGTGAAGTTTCAACTGAGCTTAGCAAGGTGAGCTTCTGTGAACCCAGCTGCTCTCATTCACAAAGCAACAAACAAAAAGGAAACACTGTTTATTGGTATAGTATCCACAACCCATCAGAGATCAAACTTATAAGCAGATCACTAACCTTCTTCTGGGTGCAGATAATGCTTAGAGAGAGACTCAGTACCTAGGAATGACCCCACATGGCAGATGCAATCAGAAATCACAATCTAGTACAACCTTACATGAGAAAATTTCCAAGGACGCCAGAAGGTTGTGAGTTCAAAAGATGCTATATTCATAAATAATCTGAAAACTTACATCAGTAGGGTTCCAGTTATATTCAAGATTTTGTTTCCTGGTTTAGAGTTTATTCCAGTTCTCCAGTAACCTCACTAGTTCTTCCCCAAGAGAAGTACATGCACCTTTACCCTACTATGCAATACTCACCAGCTCATCACCATGACAGAAATACATAACCTCCAGGGATGAGACTTCAGAGACAGCAACCTGGGCCCGAGGGAGAACAGACGCCTGGGGAAGACACAGTGAGAAGAGATGGAATTCTTCCCATAGCCACCTCCCCTCTGTTCCTACATAGTAAGTGCTTCACCTTCAATTAGCACAGCACACCAGGAAGCTGAGAGCACTGTGGGAACCCTTGCCACTGTGGTACTGAAGAACTGGGAAAAGTGAAAGCAAAGCCCACCCCAGGTGACAGGTAACATATCAGGACCCCATGTCACTTCTGTGTCCCTTTCCCACACATTCACAATTATCAAGTGAGTGTAAGCCTAAATTGAAACTGGGAGGGTACAGTGAACTAGATCTTCTTGAGGAGAGCAGAGTACCCTCTTCTGGGGTGCAAAGAAGAGGAAACGTAGTTCTGGTTTTCAAAGCCCCCAAAATGCCCAGGAACACTCTAATTTTATACAAATTCCACAGAATAATCCTGTGAGGCAGCAAACGTGGTGATCTCTACAATAAAATTAGAAAACAATGCTCTAACATAGAGTTTGGTCTTAAGCATATAAGAATTAGAGGAAATAAAACTGACAGGATAACAAGAAGAAAAAAGTCATATGGAGAGAGAATCAGAATGACATTTCATATAGATTTGGGACACATGAAATTGAACAGAAAAGTGAAAACATCATGATTACTGTGTGAAATTCTGAAGAAAGTGTAGACTTAATGATAGTCCTCTAGGGAAGTCAGCTGAGAGGAGGAACTGAAGGAAAACGAAGTGTAAATGCCAGGTGCAATCAAAATGAACACAAGGAGAATTGCACACCTTTCACATGTTCATTATAGGATTGGAGTCCACTTTGAAAAGAAGAAGAAGCTGAGGACCTGATCTCTGAGGGTATATCTGTAAAATAAGGAGATAGTTGAGACTTCCAGAGAACACCAAGAGCTGTGGCATGTGATACCTGAGATTATCAGCTGTAACACTAGAAAGAGGGAGAAGAATGCCAGACAGAGACCCAGGGGGCAGAGTCGCAAGAACCTATGAAGAAAGTGGAAGGATTGAGAAGATGAGTACACTGGGATGCTGGGACTGTTGAGAGAAGAGGAGAGGAGAGGAAGAACTCTGGATAGACATGAGACTGTGATGGTTGTAAGCCTGGTCACTGGATGAGCTCATGGGAGCCTCTGGGGGATCAAAAGCTAAAGGAGTCAACACCAGAACCCAGAAAAATAGCGTTGTCTCACACTATCCCACACCCAAATCCTGAACTTCACAAAGGACACCTGAAAACACAGAGAAACAAGATGGAACTGTTACAGTAAACTTGATGCACTAGGGAAATTTCATTAAGCAAAATGAAAAGGGAGGCCAAGGCCAGCACAAAAAGCAGGTTGTTGACATTGAGGAAGGACACAGGCTCGGGATGACCCCACTTCAGTGTCTGCAAGGATGAGAGATGGGTTTTTCTGCTCAGGGTGACTGCTGATCTGCATTTCTTTTCTCTACTGTGCACATGAGCAGCTGTGCTTACGGGATGGACACTTATCACCTTAACAAAATAGCCCAGTGTGATCTCTTCCTGCTGTATGATGCCAATAAGCATCCTGGTTTGGACTTCTAGTATGAGTGCAGCAGGGTCAGTCTGCAGGACTCCCCAAAGCCACAGAAGAAGGAGGTGACTCTATGACAGACTGAACAGAACAAGGTCAGCTTTGTGTTCACACTACATTTTGTCTGCCAATCTTTTTCAAGGGTTAATAATGACCATGTTTATTTCTCACAAGAGTACTAGTACAGAGGACAGCAGGAGGACCCTGGGCAGTGGGGACTGAGAGATCCCTCCATCCTTTCCAAGAAGTCTGCAGGAGACACAGCCTGAGACACACCTGAACTCCAGTTTCTGGGCTTTTTCCTGGGATTTAGAGCACAGATATCACAAATACCATTTTCTGGATGAACAAAGGAAAATGGCATATGTAAAAAGGATTATTATCGAGTAAGTAAAATGAATTACATAATATAAATGGGTCTGTTTTGAGGGCATTTTGTCTAGTTCCTCACAGAAGGAGGGGAAGAGAGAGACATGTTAGGTTTTTTGCATCACTGAGTGTGGTCTGAAACCACTGTTTTTCACAACCTGAATCTTAATGTCTGTCCTAATCAGGGAATACCGCAGTTTCTGCTCTGTCAGGAAAAAAGCTTAACCTGATTATCTGAGTTAGTGCAGGATCTGACCAAGGCAGAGTCACTTCTGGTACTAAATGTGACATTCTACACTTTGTTCATGTCAGCATATATCTTATTTATTTGGAAAATCACAATAAAATATAACTGTTTATGTTAAAAGTCATAAAACCCTTTTGTCATGGCAGCACCTGGAGCAAAACTGGCCCTGAGATCAGTGTGTGCTGACTGCCCCCTGCTAGTCACGAATAGCACTGCAGGGAGGTTTATGTCTGGGCTCACATTGAAATCTCCTCACTGTGTCTCTTGCACAGAAATACACGGCTGTGTCCTCGGCTCTCAGGCTGTTCATTTGCAGATACAGCTCGTTCTTGTTATTGTCTCTGGAGATGGTGAATCGGCCCTTCACAGAGTCTGTGTAGTATGTACTACCACCACCATTGTTAATTGCTGCAATCCACTCCAGCCCCTTTCCTGGAGCCTGACGGACCCAGATCATCCAGTAGCTACTGAAGGTGAATCCAGAGGCTGCACACGAGAGTTTCAGAGCCCCTCCAGGCTGCACCAAGCCTCCCCCAGATTCAACCAGCTGCACCTCACACTGAACACCTGCAAACACAGAGAATCATTGTCAGGAAAGTGTCACACTTTTCCTCCCACTCATGTCTACTCACACACTCAAGATTTCTTGTTCTCTGTAAATCACCTTTAAAAATAGCAACAAGGAAAATCCAGCTCAGCCCCAACTCCATGGTGAGTGGTCTGTGTTCAGTGCTGATCACTGAATGGGGTCAGGTGAAATTCAGGACTGGGCTCCTCTCCCAGAGCTGCAGGGTCAGGGCTGGGCTGGTTTTTCAAAAGGAAAGGGAGGTATTATTTGCATGTCCTTCTGATATATAGCAAGCTTGGGCGGAAGATTCAGAATTGCCAGAGTCCAGAGCAGATCTGACCATCCTTGTAGAGATTATGACAATGCCTGCATTAAAGAAAGAAAAGGGAATATTTATTGGAGAAACAGTGGAGGTGGAGTGGGAAAGGACAGAGACCTTGGGGATGAATATGATCAAAGCAGTTTGGAAACATGTATGAAGATAAAGTAATAAAACATTGAAATATTAAACTGTTTTAAAATTTTTTAAAAATAAGGGAGGGCTGATCAGGAACCATATTAGATGGGGTGAGTTTTTTCATACATGCATATATACATTATATGCATGTATGTAAATAAAAATGAAACCAATTTTGCAATATACATTAAACAAAACTAATGTGAACGTGAAGTTTTATTATGTGATTGATAAGCATTATGAACACTATGTCTTAAGTAATTTTTTTACATGAACACAAAACTTGGAAGTATTAAATTTATCTTCTTTTGAAACAGGTGGAAGTATAAAATAATAACATTGGTTGGTGCTGTGTGTACAGGAGTTCATGACTTCAACCACCCACAACACTGATCCCTAAATCAGTTCCTGGACAGAGTGAGGCACACCTGGTAAACAGTGCACAACCCCCTTCCTGTGATGATCACAAGTGTGACATACCTGCATTCTAGTTTTTGAAGAATATAGAGAACCAGGGTTCAGTCAGATACAGGACTTTTAGTCTCTGGCATCTCATGGCATTGTTCCCCAGTTACATTTTATACATTGAGCTGTGTTGTCTCTCTTTAGCAAACTTAACTGTGTTTCAGCACAGGATGTAATAAACTGCATATTTATAAGGAGCACATTTAATGATGCTGACATAACGGACACTTGTTCACCATCTGCACAATGAGGGGAACCCATACTCAATCCCCACGTGTTTCCTTGGGTTCCTCTGTAATCACCCTCCCACACTTTCCTCTTCCTTTCCTATCTCCAGTCAGCTCATGGCCTTGTTTATGTTGTGTTACATTAATTTACATTTTTCAAAATGTATACAACTATCATTTACAGTTGATACCGCCATTCCAAAATGGATGATATGAAGTATGAGATGGATAACAAATCCCATAGAAATCTAAAATTCAGTGGGTCACACATTAAACACTAATGCTCTATTGATTCACATTGCAGTAGATATCAAATCCTCAAACTTGGCAGCCCCACCCATATTCTGTTGTGTGTACCTGACTCAGGAGCCTCATATATGGGAGCTGGTTTCCTCATGGTTTATTTTGCATAATGAAGCATCTACAGGGCTGGTTTCACACTAGAAATACCACCTCTATATGTCCACTAAAGATTTTCATTGTGAAGTTACCCTGGATAGGTTCTTACACAACATTTGTTCAGGCCATGCCTCTGTGGAATCTTTCAGCACTGTTTCCCCTTCTACATTGATTTGCTGCCTGGTCCTGAAGCTGTAGGGCAATCCTTTAAAATCTAGAGGGAGACTTCCCTGCATCACAGCTCTAGGATAGTGTAGACCAGCAGAGTAAGCATCAGATGGACACCATCAAGGTTTTGGTATTCTGTCCTCTTCAGAGACAACTGCATACACTGGATCCTCACCAGGAGAGAGTTAGTACAATGGTATGGGATTGTGTGAGGCAGAAACTACAGTTGAATTCATGGTTGAGGGTATATGAGCCAGTGTGAGATCATATGTGTGTGTGATGTATTGTGTCTGTGTGAGTTATTGTGTGATTTTATTCTTGTACTTTTGGACAAGTATTAAAAACTGTGTTGGGGATGGTCTCCAGAGTTGGATGTTGTTAAGCGAATGGCAGAAACCCTGGATGGAGCCAGGAAACACCTTTCTGCCTCCTCTCTGCACCTGCTCCTCAGGGTTTCCTTGGCTGAGGAGTGAGTGCCCCCTGGTGTCCTTCAGGCTGGTGAATTTCTGGTTCCCATGCCTGGTGTTGGCTGTAGCTAACACAGGACTGTGACCTGGGACATGGGTCTCCTCCATGTGGACCTCACACTGAGCGCTGGTCTCCTCCACACAAAGATGTATCATTAGTTGTGTGCCTTGTTCATCCCACATGCTATTGGAGTTGACTTCAGGAAAATCTAAACATGGTTTGATTTGGCAAGCAAGGTTCTGTCTATGACCTTGACTGTCTTGAAGACTTGTGTCCATAGTGAAAATTGCACATGCTTGTGTATACTGACTGCAGACTAACGAACACTAAAAGATCTTTTCACCTTCACAACTCACTGGAGTAACTCATGCTGATGGTAATGAAATACCTGGAAACTTCTGGGTAGCTCTTGTCATATGATGTGAGGTGGCAGGGCAATCCCATTGACTCTCCAAGTCTATTCTTGAAAGACAATGAGTCAAGGGCTTTCATTATCCTGTGTAGGGCCCCTTTCAATTCAGAGCACTGAGTTCAAAGCTCACTTGTGTGGTGATCACTGCCTTCTTTCCAACAAGTGAGGAGACTCTAATGTACTGAGTTTGACATTTGAAAATTTATCTTTTATGCAACATGATAATGTACTGGCTGTCTGACCTAGCATTATCCTCATAAGTGAAAATTGCCATAGACATTCTTAGAATGACATGATCCATATGAATCAGAAAGCTTTCACATTTGTCATGGGAAAGATCCCTATACTAGTACCATGCAAACTCAGTCATTTTGCAGAGCTAAAGAGACTCCCAGTGACATTAAACCCTGGATATTCTCCAGTGTCAGAGATCTCCATGCTCGTCACTGTTCACATGTTTATCCAAAATCTAGCACTACACAACACCATGACTGACACCACAAGTAAGGAATGGACTGCTCGATTTGACAGCTATCAAGGTTTTCTGTCTGCTGTAGTTCCATTACACTGAAGGGCAGGATATCATTGGTAGAGGAGGTGATGCCAGTGGGAGGAGGATTCTGGGCAAATCTCTGAACCCACCCTCCATTTTCCATGAATAAAAATCAGCTCTGTAAATAAATACTGCTAAATAAAAATGGATCAGGTATTGTGTTCTTTTCCTAGGAATACACTTAATACCTGATGAAACAGTTCAACTTCATGTTACTTACCTAATGGTTTTACAAACATATTTTCCTATGCATACAGACACAGGAATGTTTGTGTCAACATTGTTAATTGGAAACTCCCTACTCTTAGTGTTTTGCATGTAGGGTCATTGGGGTGTGGAAAGTTTCCCAAATAGTCAGAATGGACTCAGCACTATTGTTTGTCTCCTCAATTAATTAACCTTTTTTCTAGGCTCATCTTCAGCTTTATCCTGTCAAGGAGTTGCCTTCTCCCTCAGGGGTTCTGACAATCTCAGAACGTGATTTTCACACTGTTTATCTTGCACAGTAATACACACTTGGGTCTACAGCTCTCAGCCTGCTCAGCTCCATGAATTCTATGCTGGAGGACATGTCCACTGTCAGTGTCAGGCTTCCTGGGAAGTTCTGAGTGTATATAGTCTCATTATCTTCAGGGTGGATCATGCCAATCCACTCAACCCATGGTTGGGGGCTCTGCCTCACCAATTGTATAGAATAGATTGTGTAGATGAACTCAAAAGTCTTGTAGCACACCTTCACTGAGGCCCCTGGCTTCCCTACCTCAGCCCCAAGCTGCTTCAGGGGAACCTGGGTGTGGACACCTGTGATGAGGAAACAGAATGCATCAATACCCATGTCAGGCTTTTGGTTGTCCCCAGGCCTGGGACTGGGAAATCTCTTACCTGTTGCTGCTGCCACCAATAAAATGAAGCTCCACCTCCAGCCCGTGGTTTTGAGCTGTGCTCTCAGGATTCTGCAGAACAAAGCAGTCTCATGTGTATTTACTGCAGTCATCTCAGGTTATTTGCATATTCATGATGCTGAGTACGTCTTAGCTGAAGACCTGATCCAACTTGAGAGGGGAAAGGTATGTGACACCTGTGCCAGGCAGCTGAAAGATGCAGAGGTGCACATCAAAGTGCAGTCTGAGGAACTGCATCCCAGGCTCCATCTTAGCATGTACAGACAGAGGTCCTGTCACTGAGGGCCAAGACTCCACAGGACAAGCTGCTGAGTGTTTTTGAATGTCTTTAGCTTCTCTCAGTCATCCATGTCAGTCATGCTAATCAGGTATATTTACTCATTATACTGCTTCCATCATGATGCAGTCCAGGCTAGGGTTGACAACTGTCCAACCCTCACCAGTGACCAGCATGGTGGACACTGTTCATATATCCAGTCCCTCCAGGGAAAGTTTCCTCTTCTGCCTGGGATCCTGAGCCTAAACTGGGCCACAGAAAGACCTTGGGGTCTCAGATTATCCTTGTAACATGTAATCAGGGTTGGATTTATAACTCCACTATAGATAGGAATCAAATGGGTTCTTGATGAACTCATGGCTTCCAAAGTTTTGCCCAGGAATCTGTGCTTTAAACAAATTTGGGTCTCATTCTCCATCCACGAAGCAGGAATTTGCAGAATCTTTATAGATTGTTTGTACAAATCAAACATTACTCACCTTTTCCCATTGACTTCTGATTGATCTTGTTCATGTTCCTTCCATACTAGGATTCACCAATACCCTGCCTCACACTCAGCCCCAGGATCTCTACCAAGACCTGGAAGTCAATATCTATTCCTGCGATCAGAGTCCCTCTTACAATTCTCCACCCTGTGTGTTAACAAGTGGAGTCCTGTCCTCCAAGTTCTTGTCATTGAGATATGCAGAAGCACTGGACATCCCCTTGTATGGGACTTTCCTTACATTACTGCATTGGTGATTTGCTCTCAGCAAGGTAGGAAGCCTATCAGCATCAGCACTTAGAAACTTCATTATGAACATTGCAATAACTGAAGGAAGATATTGTCTTGAGAGAAGATGACTCCCCTGGCCTCTGCACCAGGTCCAGATACTGCAGCTGTGC